AAAATATATTATTATATACAATAGTGTAATAATATTAAATATAATTTAGAAATATTATTCGATGATTACAAAACAATTTGATAAATAAACACGATAGGCGCATAGGCACGTATTTTACATTACAAGAATTTCACGTTATTGTACGCATACCGAATATTTCATATGTAATTTTGAAAGTAATATTGTATACATTGTGTGCAAAGTTAATTATGAGAAAAATAAAAAAATTAAAAAAAATGTTTTAATCAAATTGTAAAAAAGAGGACCGAAATCGGCGGGGGTGGCAGAGGGCCTCTATATATCGATTTGTTTTTATCGAATAAAAGATTAGTTCAATTTTGATCAATAGATTTGCCTTTACAATTTAATTTTTCGTTTGCGCATTAATAAAAAATGTTACACAATAGGCACAGCTACTTGTGTAGCATTGTGTAACATTTTTTATTAATGTTTTATATTGTGAGAGTTATTGCATGCATATGACATGTTCATACGCAATTTTATGTCATAAAGGAATATTGTACATATTTTTATTTATATTATGTTTAGAATTTCACTATGTAATCTACTACTTTACAAATTAAATTGTAAAAAAAGAGAAATGAAATTATGAAAATGTAAAAACACAATTATTGCAAAAAAGAGGACCGCCGAGAAGAATTCGGCGGGGGTGGTGGAGGGCCTCTACAAGTTGGTCTGTTTTTATCGGATAACATTTCAATTTAAATCTAAGAGAGAAGTATTACTTGACTTGTAACTAGAAAAATGCAAAGTTTAATTTAACCAGAATGTAATCGTAATGTTTATGCGATATAAACGGAGCAATCTTGCACAAAAGAAAATGTTTAAATAATTTTTTATCTCCAGATAATAATCAGTATAGATATGTATATTGTAAAGTAAATTCTAAGACATTGTAAGATAAATAATGAGAATATAAAAAACAATTATAGGAAAGAAAAGAGGATCGCCGATTGGAATCGGCGAAGGTGGTGGAGGGTCCTCTTATACAATCAAGTTGGTCTGTTTTTAAGATATACATACATGACTGATAGTTTCTTCGCCAGTAATAAATTACGAAGTAATGTTATTTAACTCAAGCTGATAGAAATTTTATTTCTTATGTCTTATATTATATATTTAATATTATAGGAGGGAAACTACCGATGGAATTTCACCTCTCACTCTAATCGTTAATTTAATCAATACCAATAAGTCCGCAGAATGATACACAAAACGTAGTAACAGTCACGGAAGAAAGTAATGTAAACTATTAAGTACAGAATTTTCAAGTTCGTAGACGGGACAACGAACTCTCAACGTTCGTTGTTGTTTTTCTCTCGGCGCGGTGACGTACCATGTTTTTGCGTGCCATCGTGTATCCGAAGGTCGCCGCATTATCATTCGCTCGCCGAACGTCGAGCCGGCAGGCAGCAGCGAGAGTCGCTCCGTGCGTCGTATTACTTTTGCGTTGTCGGTTTCCGAGACGCGATCGCGATAAATGTGGGGATAAAACGCTATTGATTTGTACACGGTTTTATTAACAAGTAACGTCCATCGACTAAATATTATAACTTGTAATGGAAAATTATTTGCACGTTCAAGCGGCGGCTTTTACAATATCAATATAGATTTCACGAGGCTAGCTCATCTAATTGTAAGATATGAATGCAAACCGTGGTAATTTGTCGCAATTACATCTCGTATACGCACTGCGCTTTTAAATTATCTGTCGATTTCGTATAACTTGTTCCATTTTCGGGAAAAGAGAAAGAAAAATGTGCGGCTTTAGCGTTCGCGCTGTAAATCGTTCTGTCGTTCTTCACAACTAGAACAGGCAGGAAGTAGAGAAAGTTGCTTATCACGTGTCGTTACATTATGTTAATGTAATCGACAATGATCTCGATTAACTATTGCAACTATTTATCGCTGGAGGTTTCGTTCACATAATTCACTTCGAGGATTAGATTGAATGACAATAAAGTTTGTAAAGTTTCGTTTCGTCGCGGACTAATAACTACTTCTTTACCGCAGATTATGCTTGGATTCCGATGCTTGCGTTGCGTTTTATATCGCTAATTGAACAATAATTTATCCATTATTATCCTACTTTCTCCGAATCAAAAATGCAAGTTGCCAGTTTGAATAATTTTTACGACAGAAAGTCACGCGATATTTGTTAATAATATTTCGTGCGTTTCGCAGTATTTCACATCGCGTACGGGAGTGCCCGAAATTTCGCGCGATCGATGATTTTCGCGAGTGTTTTCATGAGTGTTTGTGTGAGTGCAACAAGGAAATCTGAGAGGAGGAGGAGGAGGAGCAACGGCGGATCAATCGTGAGGTGAGTGTTTTACATTTTGTTAAATTAGATCCCAGCCAGTGTAAAGTCGTTAAATAATTTAACTTCCTGTTGTTAATCAATTACTGGTGACAATAATATTCCTCTGGTCATTTAAAAATACGTTCGTTCCCGGTCAAGTGTGAGCGAAAAGAAAAAGTAGGCTTTGAGTGTTAAACGGTTAGTTGTGCGTGACGTAACATTATGTGACATTTAACAATTCAACGCAAATTTATATATTACATGTTTCGGTTCTACTTTGAGCCATCTTCGGTAAAGGGTCCCTCGATGGTGACAAATATATTGAATAATTTCTCTCCGACGAGCGCGAGCATTTGAAAATTAAAAAAGACCAAGACAGTATAATTTCACGGAAGAAAATTCTAGTAAAATATTGCTATTCATATTTACGTTTAACAGATTCCTCATATTTCACTTCCTTTATACGACCGCGAAGATGCATTTATTGCATTATACGTTAAGCATCTTAAGAACTGAGCTTGCAATGAAAATAAATCTCATTACAACTTATTAATGATGCATCTTTCAAGTACAGTATATTTCAAATGTGTTTTTCTTACATTTGCATTTAATGTCTTCTTTCCTTTTTACCCATTTATTTCATCTCGAGAAATATTCCCTCGATAATTATTCAATCTCTTAATTAAAATCACTTATTTTCCGCAGTTACGTATTTGTAACGAGTTTCTTCTGTAATTTTACAAGAATACGCGTATATGCTCTTTGTTTCGCGACACAATGATGCTTGATACTGAGATCTGATTTTCATCATTCCGGCTGTCTGTTCCGATTTTTCCTTTTTTTATCTTCTCGTACATTTTAATATTCATACCCTCTCACAGTCCCGTTACAGAACCCTTTACCGATTATACTTCGCTCAGTGCCGAGCGTTTGATTACACGACATAGCCGGAAGGGACGATGTTTAATTTCTTCGCCTCTACATAAATGCCACTATAAGAAACATTAAGGATACGCGAGCAGATTGCTAGCGGGGGTGCGCGCAAGCGTGCGCGCACGTACACGGAAATGTGCACGCACGTACACGCGCGCGTGTGTGTGCGAGCGGAGGGGCCGTTAGTGACAGTGGCTTTGTAAAACCACCTCCTAGCTTTCAGTTTTACAATACACGCCACCCCCTTTTGTACCCTCCCCCGGTAAAACGATGCGCGCGCGGTTACGTTAAAGCGGAAAGAGGCCGCGCTTTTCAATAAGCGGACTGCCGCCGCGTCTCGCCGCGAGAACGGCACAATTAGTTATTACCATGATCCACAAACGAGCGTTATTATCTTAAAAGCCGCTACTTCGTACAACGGGCGGAAGTTTCCTCGGGGGAAAACGCTTCCGCGGAAAGTTGAAATATTAGCGGCTCCGTAAATCGCGTCTCGTAAATTTCGCTGCTTTCTTTATACGAAAAATTGCACATCAGTCATTAATAAGGCAGCATAATGCGCCGTGCTGCGAAGAATTTCGCATTATTTATCATCAGAAGGATTGGATACAGCGCTGATTTTATTTATCGTCCGAAAGTAGATAGCGAGTCGCGCAGCGTAACACTCGTTTGCTTTCGGTCGCGGGAAACAAACTTGCGCCTTGACGTGCAAAAATAAACCACGCTGCGAAAGGTCCGATCCGGGTCTTATTGGAAAAGAAGTGCTCATTAAAATAAAAAGCGAAACCTAATAAATGTAACAGATGTGCGGAAAGAGAATATGAAATCTGTTTTGTGAAGAAACAGCTTGCAAGTGGTTTCTATAATACAGAAAGTATTGACAGCCTGTTATTGATTTGAGTCGGATGCGCATAAAGCAGAATTGTCCTATATAGAATCTATTGGCAGACATCCGTATCTTGCTTTACAATTACGTTACGTATAAAAAATTAATATCTACGCGTTCCTTAATCATTTAAACGACGTCAAAATCTAACACCGAAAAGGAAAGGTTTGCTACCGTAGCTAATCGTGGTTTGCTACAAATATCACAACTTTATAAAGTACAGCAAACAATTTGCTGTCGCAGCTAATACAACAGACACAGTAACAAAATATTTAGCTACCACAATTAAATCTTAGCTATTTTACAACTGCCACCTGTGCAGTTTTTAGCTACGGCAGCTACATTTTCCCTTCCGCGACGAACTCGACCTGCGGACGCGTTTGGGACGGGATTCCTTAAATGACAGACACACGTAGATTCCATAGTAGAGTTTTACTTGCTTCTTATATTTAGTAGGTATATAATGATTACAACCTAAGACTCTGCGTATAAATAGTAGATATCCGCACAGGATCTCTTTCAACGTGTTCGCGTACACAATTAGCGCCATGCTTTCAATGTACCTTTAGTGCCAGCTTTGAGAGCTCATATACATCGATCGATCCGATAGTGTCGGGTGTGCCATCGCTATTATCGACGGTAATATCGTTAAAGTAACACACTGATCAACGGCAAACGTCCCCGTGTCGGAAGGTATCTACATATTGCTACTGATTCCGAATTCCGTAATTGCAGCTTGAATGTGCGCGTCGAGAGATTCGCTCGCGCTGACGCCGCCGTGCTGGTACCCGTTCAGAAAGTAACACGTGCCCGATTCATCGGCCGGCATTCCCTTGGGTAGATTGTCCTTGGTCCGCGGTTCCAATATGAATCCCGATTTTTGTATTAAGCACCTGCAACACATTTGCACCGTGAAACAAAGACACGCGCGCACGTACGTACACGCTGCGGGAGGGCATATCTCGCGGTAAGACGTACAGGTACGTAGTCGGACTGACGTTGACGCGAAGTGGCTCGCTCGTGGATTCAAATTTATTCGCCAACGTGACGTTGTGTCCGAAGAGACAGTATCTCGGCATCTTCTTGCCCACGACGCCTGCCAGCACCATCCCGGTGTGAATGCCGATGCGCATCTGATAGGAGAATTTTAGTGAGTCGATAACGGCTGTGTGCGCCGCACATTGGCGAATACGAAAGAGTTAGATGGCAATAGCGAGCAAGTATCAACGAGAGAAAGAAACGTAACTTGCTTTAAATGTTAATGCAACCGTGGGCGGTTCGCGTTTTCTCGTATTTCCAAACAGGCCGCTTGTTGCCGTAGTTAAGAAATACTTTAAATGGAAAAAGTTTTAATAGCATTCAAGGCGAGAATAATAAACAACGGACTGTCTGCTCGAATGGATATGTAATAATTAGAAATATCTCTCAATTGAAAAACTTTGTGCGAAAGATGACATTCTGCGAGGGAGAGTGAGAGAGAGAGAGAGAGAGAGAGAGAGTTGAGATTTGAAAGTTGAAAGTTGAGAGATTGTGCCGATCGTTATTTTTAAGTACAAAGGAAAAGGGAATGGATTTGTTTGTACAATTAAAAATTGTATTCAGAAAGAATGGGCGAATGTCGCAAAGAATGTGTAATCTCTCTAGAATCCAAACGTTTGTACGCGAATAAAATACAATAGTTTCACATTCTTAAAAATATCGAACATATTTTACGTATTGAAACGTGAAACGCGGGTAGTATTTAAAATCGGTATTTCCGGTGTTTCCTTTTCCCGCCTCCCAGCGTGACGAAAGGCAAAACGTTGGCTGTGCGCGTAATACACCAAATTGCATAAAATCGCAATAAAACTGCAAATGTTTGCTATGCCATTACTGTCGATATTGTGCTGCGAGAGAATTGCATTGCATGTAATCACGATTTTATCTGTAGTCGTGTAATCATCGATGTAATACCTTTATTGGCTTGCCTTCGTGAGTCAGGTGATGAGAGCACGTTTGTATCATCTTTAGGCCCATCCAAGCAATTTGTTGTGCATGTGTATTGGTATTTCGATGAAGGCCGCATGCAACGCAGTAGGCATCGCCGATTGTCTCTACCTGTACAAGGAGAAAGAGAAAAGCGAAATCAATGCAGCCTCCATTCGCGTTCGCATATAATAGCTCCTTTTACATAGAGGCCGTGTTTGACATCATTAGAATTCCTCGATAAATTAAGCCGATGCTCGCGAGACGACGTGCTTCTCCAGGCGTACAACAGAGGAAATATTAGAAATAGAAATAAATATTAAATATTGAGATCGGAGAAGAAAGCAGGAAGATTAAATGTAACGCGCAGGGAGAAAGAATGAAGTGCACACACGAATTGTGTTATACAATCGCGACGTAAAATATTTCTATTGTAGCTTATGAATTCTAACAATATGGATTCCATATTTATTGCTATTTTTAATATTTCCTCCATTGTGCGCCGGACTTTACTTTATCGACACTTTATTATCACTCGCTATTGTTGAGAAACGAAGAGGTCGATAACGATAAGGAATTGTTTGTGAGGTAAATTCAGTTCTCTCGCTGGCTCACAGATGGCAGCGTCATACATTTTCGCGACTCGAGCGAGAGGTAGATCGTAATTTACGATTGCCATTTATAAGGTATTGGCAAATATATTATTTAGGAAGCTTTCGTATGGTAGACTTTTTTTTACACGTCGACAAAACATTTAAACGCGACTTTTCTTTCAATTTTCATCAGTTAGAAGCTACAAAAAGTGAAGAATGGATAGCTTCGCTCGATTAACGTTTAACAAAGTAATGAAGAAATTAAGAATTATGCAAAATACACGTAGTCCCTGTGAAAGTACTGTTCCCAAGTTAAAGCATACCTTATACACATCCAACTGACCGCAGTAAAGGTCAAATTGCTCGTACAGATTTTGAAGCATGTTGATAACCATCATCGGGGTTGTCGTAGCGCAGATAGATGTAAATCCGACTATGTCGCTAAACAGCATCGTGACGTCCGGATACGTTTTCGCCTCGATTGTCTCTCCTAAACGATTCAGACACCAATGTTTAATCGACAATTTCTCACAAATTATAACAGTACATTCGAAACTAGAGACTTTTCTTCCAAGATTTTCAGTCTCGACGCTACGAATCTTCGTAGAAATTCTTCGAGAACTGAAGTTTTCAAGTTTTTCGAAGATACCAAGTTTCGAAGCTTCGAAGTTTCGAAACTTCGACTTTTCGAATTTTTAAAGTTGCGAATATTCGAAGTCACCTAGTGTATTAACAAATTTTGCAAAATTAATCGCTTTTATTGTAACTGTTAACTAATTAAATGCCAACTAATTAATGTCATTACAAAGTATAAAAACAAACGTACTTTTTGTCAGACACATATTTGTCCATTAGCTCGTAAAAACACAATGAAATCGAGGGAAATAAATTTTCTATCATTAACATTTTATCTTATTAACTATTTCTTGTTACTGCCTACTACATACACCAATACAGGTGATAAATCAGGTCGGTCTTTGAAAACTTATGTATTAATGCGTTAGTTGACTTTGAATATTCGGAACTTTGAAGCCTCGAAACTACGAATCTTCGAAAAATTTGAAAACTCAGAAAATTTGATATTCAAAGTTTGTTTCTTCGGACTCTTCGAAGCTTCGAAGTTGCGAAGCTTCGAATAATTAAGACCGCTATTCGAAACCGTGCCGGATGCAATTATATTTACGTGCAACCGCGGTTCACTAATTGTTTATTCAACAATAGCTGTAGCTCTTTCAGTTAATTTTTTAATTAACTCTTCCCACTTTCATGCGTTATCACACTAGACTGAGAATAAAGAGGGGAGTTTCTTAAAGAAAAAAACAAAAATATCGCTGTATTATATCTCGGCCGAATATAGATTGTTGTAATTTACCCAGCCACAGACGTTTCGCAATATCCGGCGGAAATATAAGATGTAAAAGGCTGACATTCTTTTCTCTTTCCGCATCAACCGCCAGGTTAGCTTCTTCTATAGAATTCTTCAATTTGTCCATACGTCTCCTTAAGCCGTCCTGAAAGAGGATTACGCCATTGTACTTTTGCGCGGACATCAGGATCTGTTGCTTTAATTGTACCGGATGCGATGCAATAGCATTTATTCCGTCTCAATGAGACAAAACATTCGGCCGACGACGCGAAACATGAACGGCTCAAAGTTCCGCGTTACACAGCACGGGACGCTGGACTCGTGGCCGCGCAAAAACCGCGGTGAATTTACTCACCTGTGCCCTAGCTTGCTCGCCGACGAGTATAACGTCCCTCGTAGCGTCGTGAAGAGGGATATCGGAAATGAAGAGCCCCCGACCCGTCAAGCCCTCCAAACCGTTCAAGAACGGTGAGCCGACGAATAAAATCGAGTCTGATTCCGGACAGTGTACCATCTGGCCCTTCATCTCCAGGCCCTGGTAATAAGGTATTTTTTTTATAAATTTACCCTACCGGGCGAGCACTCGAACAATATTAGCGATCCACTTTTGCGCGGCAGGTCGAACGATTTCCTCGCCTATAATCCGCTCTTATTTATATATGTTTGTGTTTTACGCGGTATTCCGAGTTTGCGAGTAAGTTAATCATCGTTAGCGATCATGAGCATACCTCCGCGGGATATTTATCGACGTCGTGCGGTCTCCGTAGGGTCAAAATGAACGGTGTGTTCGCGCGCTTGAGGATCTCGTGAAAGGTCAGAGTGACGCCGTGGGGTCGCGTGAAGACGAAATATGTCGATATCTCCCTGCCGAGTCGGTTCAAGTGGTGTCCGAAAATCTTCATGAAGCCAACGCCGAGCTGAACGAGCTCCAGCTGGCGGTCGACGACGAAGTGCCACGGGAACGCCTTGCAAAAGCTCGCTACCCCCATACGAAGGTCCGTTGCTTCGGTCGAGAGTGGACGGAAAGTGGACGACACCACGTCGCAGTCGTCGTCTACGCCCGGCGGTTCGCTGTAACGCTCCGGAGTAATCCGGTATCTGTAAAATTCAAGGCGAAGTGCTTCCAGGCGGCTGGTCCTATCCGCCACGCAGGGGTTGATATTCAATAAGGGAGCGCGCCGCTTTCTCCGTGCACATCGCGAAACAATGCGCGCGTTATAGAAACGCTACTTCGGCGATATCGCGGGGTATCCCCGGCGTATAAATACACAGACCTTTATATACTACTAGACGGCTGCCTTCGAGCTGGAAAGTTGGGCAAGAATTAAGTATAACAAAGTAGTATGTGTGTCGCTGACGGACCGATGCACACATACTACTTTATTCACCTAACGAGACAAGGCGTGACCGTCGCCTCATTTTTCAGCTCGAGGGTAGCGGATCTATAGAAATGTGTAGAGATATCGGGATTGAACTCGTGGGTACTCAACTTCTTTCGAACGAGCGGACATGATTGGGCGGGAGAGTCAACATTTCTTATGATAATATAACCGGAGGCAATTAGACCCGGCCGTACTTCTGCGCGTAGCGTCGCGCGGACAAATGTAACCGGACCGATGAAACGTTTAATTAAACTCGGAAACGTAAGCGATGTGCGGTGACAATGTTTTGCACGTCATTTACATGTTCGCGCGTCGATCTCATCCTTTCTGAATTAACGTGAGACTCGGTAGTACCGCACCTATCATCAAATATTTGCCACTGAGGAGAATCAATATTTGTTCAAACGAAAGGTTTGTACTCTCACGTGCTCTCTGCCTTTGCCTATCTGCACGAATTACATTCTACTCACGTGACATTATTTCGGTACACGCGATTCGGTGTGCAAACATTAAATACCATGCAAAAGCGTACGAGCGATAACATTCGATAAGATATATTTCGTTTCCCCGCCCCCCTTTTTTTTCGGGCCACCACATTTTACATATGCGACCGATGCGAATGAATACGCTGGACGATTGAAACGGAGACTCTAGGAGAACACGCGAATTATTTGCATGGGTAATAAACGACATACAAATAAATGCATACAAATTATTTGCATAAGGAATAAACATTTCCGAGTCATTCGAAATACGGCGCTTACCGGAGTTTAAGTCGACCAGAGGATTCACGGTTGATTCTGAAATTTCGCATGTCTATCTCTGAAGTTTATATTCATATCCGTTTATACGGGGATCTAATCATAACTGGATTGAAAAATTTCGGCGAATATTGAAAGGGCCATAATCGTGTTGCGCAGTTGATGTTGTGTCAGCAATTTTCGCCGTATTTCTCCAAATCGTATTTCTAGCGCTTGTGTCGTTTTGATTTCATATTTTTCGTTTGCTTTTTTTTCTCTCTCTCTCTCTCTTTCTTATTCCCTTTTTATCGTTTTATACGAGTAGTCGTCGAATCAGAATTGTGTCGCTTTAAATTGAAGTAACACGGACCTCTGTATTTGTTGTCGCGGAAAACTCATTCGCGCGTGACGTTTGATAACAATTTTTGTATTCTTCGCTAAACGCAGAGATAGCCTGGGGAAATGTCCTCCGCCTTTTACACTCCGATACGCGTCCCTTATGCCTACCGCTTTCAAAATCGGGGTGGAAAGGAGCGGAAATTAAAATCTGCGGTTGAGTCTCGGGACTAGTATCCGCGATAAAGCCGATACGACGTGCGAGAAAAAAAATGGAGCTTGTCGGTCGCGATAAAACGGAGTTAAAGGGGCCTTCGGTAAAGAGATTTACCTAAAAAATTTGGTATTGTAGGGATCCGGCAGTATATACACATTGGCTTTGTCATTATAGAACTGCCTGGCTATGCCCTTCAGGCTGCCCACCAGAAGATAGGCGATGGAAGGGTGGTCGGTGGTGAAGTGTAGCTCCAGCGCTTCCGGTGTGGCGATACACACGAACTCCGCCTCGGTATCCGATCCCGACTGATGCTGGACAACGTCGTTTACGCCGTCGAGTGTGGTCAGGAAAGCGGTCAGATCGTTCCCAAGGCAACGAAAGGCCCGCTCCAAGAGACCCACGCAAGCCCATGTGATCAGCTCCTGCCCGAGATGATCGAAAAACGCGTCCACGCCGTCGTCTGCAAAAGTTCCGCAAACATGAATTCGCCTCGAGGGAATTTCGCCGAGTCACTCAGAGACCGTTTATTTCTCCCTTTTGCGCTATTCAGGGTGGCGAGCTTCGTAAACAATAGAATGATAAAATATACAGTGCGTCTTGAAGTGTATAAAAGCCCCCGCGCATGAAAAATAGATTCACCGGAGATATAATTCGCGAAAAAATACTTTCCCCGCGGTAATTGGCCGCCTCTCAAAGTTCTCTCCTCTTCTCTGTTTCGCAAAGGATTCGTCCCTTCTAAACTTTTATTGAAAATACCTCTGGACGCTTAAGGGGATCCTAAAGCCGCTGGCGAATTCGATCAGTGTCGATAAGATCGGAGACGGGAATTTGTAAACGTCAGTTATCAATATTTTTAATTCCAAGTGCCACTTGATCCGAGAAATGTATAGCCAACTTTCACGAAAAAGCAGCAATTTTATTAGCTACGCATTGCTCAGACCGAGATTTCGGCTTTACTGACAATCTGACAGATGTTTGGCAGCGACTGCTCCCTTTCTCTTCTTCTAGACTTGGACTTTCTGGACTTGCGTTTATTAGAAGTAATCTTTTTTTCTAGGCTATCAATCTTAGTTCTAACTGCACGATATTGTTCTCATATATCGTCCCCAGAGTATGCTGATCTCATTTTGTACACATCTATTGTAGAATTCTTGTGTCGAGCAAATATCGTCGTCAAGTGTACCGAAAATTAGTAAAAATTTTTAATTTTCTTTACTTTTAATATAAAGTCGAGCAGTCTAGATTTTGCTGCGCACTTAAATTTCGTAAAAGGGTTCCGCGTTTCTATAAAGTCAACCGAAAGATTACTTGTAACAACGAATGCCGATAAAACAGACGGCTTTGGGATCCCCTTAAGAGGATCCCGTAGCATGTCTGTTTTACCGACATTCGTAGTTCTAACCTATCGTCGTATTAAATTCATGGAATCAAAAATGCTTGCGTACAATTATAGTATATGCATTGATGATCCGGGGAAACTCCAATTTGATACCAAAAATGAGTAAAAATTACAAAATTCATATATCGATCACATATAACCGTGTAGACGAACTGTCAACTCCGTCATACTTGTGCTTCGTATAAAAGTTCTACAACTTGTACTCACATGAAACTGAGTTTCCCCGGATTCGATGACATGTAGAATTACTGTGAAACCCTCTAAATTGGGATTAGATGTTTAAA